AAAAAAAAAAACTACAATTATAAGATAGTAATAAGTCAAGAAAATTGAAAAATGTTAAGGAAAAGATTTAAAAAACTTCAGATGAATTTCTGCTTATAGATTGCTGTATAAGTGTGAATAAAGACTTGCTTTGATTTAAGAAATCTAAAAGTCATAAATTGTACCATTTGGTTGTATTTTAATACAAAAAGGTCAAAGTGAAGCTTCCTTGTAGTAATCAGTAGACTAATGGGAAGAGCGGTGAATTTTTATACATTATTATATTAAGTAAATATAATACTTTTAAATAAAATAAAATTAAAGTTAAATAAAATATAGATATTTGTTTATCTTTTTAATTATTTCCTAGTTTAAGCAAATTTTTTGATTAACTGACCTATTATTAGATCCTATCCATTGAGTCATAGAGGCCTTATTAGTTTGTTTTTGTACCGATCTGATTTGATATACTCCACCTATACTGGATATTAAGGTTTTTTTATTTGTTACATCTTACTAAATTGAACAATAGTATTTTATTTTATTATGCATTCCTTTGATTAATTATGGACTGACACACACACCCCCTTTTTTTATGTATTTGTTGGCCATTCTTTATGTCAGGTGTGAGGTGTGAGTTTTTTTGTTTTTTTTTTCATAAGAACTCTTCTAACAATAAAGATATTGACCCTTTGTTGTATATTTTGTAGATAGCTTTTTTAATTATTTATATAGTTATGTTTCTTTATGATATCCTTTGACATATTTACTATTTCTATGTAATAAACCTGTTAACTTACTCCCTTATGGTAATTACCCTTGGAGACTGTTTAGGGTAGTCCATGGTTTTATTTATATTCACTTTTAATTACACAGAATAATAGCTAAGAGCAGACTAGAGACACAGATTTGGATTTATCTCTGTGGCCCCAGCCCCTAGAAGAGGGAACCAGGGACAGAATTATTATGAGCATCAAATGATGAAATGTAACTGAAATATTTTAGAAATGATAAAGCATGATATAAATACTACTTGTTATAATATTTAAAATTGAAGGATCCACAATTAACAATCCTTTTATTTTGAGAAACAGAGGAAATTGTCTTCTGTAGTTCCTGCTAGACCTATTGATTAAGCATAGAACAAAGAATAAGAAGGTTGCATAATTAAAGCCAAAGTTCTTGCATTTTTCCTTAATAATTTAGGTTATATGGGAATAATTGTTGATTGGACAATTTCTAAGACTATATATTTCAGCCCTACTTTCTAGAATACTTGCAAATAGATTTTTTTTAACAAAATGGGTATATATGTATGTGTCTGAAAGACATTCTGATCATGGCTTACACATGAAATAATTGCTAATGCTATAACTGTAAGTGAATCTGAGAATTGTTATTTACTTTGAAATACACACCCACACAACTAGGATTTTAGAGTTGTAGTGTAAAGTAATAAATTGAAAGCATCTTTGCTATTCCTTGAATTCTTTTGGTGCATCTTATGATGTAAGTGGTTTCCTAAGAACTATTAGAGGTTTCTTAATTTTAAAATAAAAGAGCAAGAGATGGAGGTGATATGGGGGGAGAGAAAACTTTAAGCTGAAGCAGGAGATTATAGATGATTACAAGAATGTCTTATTTGTTAGGAGAAGTAAACAGTATTACTTCTAGCTTTGTTGGGACATTGTTAATGATAACTCATCCTTCATATGAAACATATCCTTTGTTCTGGGAAGTACAACTTAAAAGAAGTCTTGGTGGATAGTGAAATGAGGGAAATTCATAACATATCTCAGGGGGAATACAAGCTTTTTATTATTTGTAATCCTGATTGTTTTGTCTTTTAAACAGATAACATGCCTAGACATTTCCAGTGGAGGAGGCCTTGGTGTATCTTCTAGTACTGATGGAAGCATGAAAATCTGGCAGGCTTCTAATGGAGAACTCAGAGTAAAGTATTGGGATCCACTTTTAGGGTCTTATCATGAAGGAGGGCCTGAGAAACCTTGCACTAGGTCATCAAAGGAACAATGACCTGTTGTACTTCACTTGATCTTTGTTCTCCCATTTATGAATTTGAGTACCACCCTCGAGCTTGGTTATTTGCTAGAATAACTTGGAGTTGAGCAGTGGGGATATTGTCTAAGTGGTTGGTCGGCCTGTGAGAAGGTGGTATGAACTGCCTTTATGCTACTATAGCATAGTAGCCACTATTACAGTGATATATGGTTAAGCCCTCCAGCTTATACATGGGTTTTAAGAAGAGGTGAGTGAAAGAGTCATCAAGTCTCCTTGCTTCTAAAACATAGAACTAGATATAGGGATGGCTGGGAGAGCCAGGAAGTTTATTTCCACAATATCTATAGCCAGAGTCCATGAAAGGGAATTCAGCAGCTCTTAGAACACTGCCTAGTAGACAGATGAGCCAAGAGGTCTTTTGGATCTCTTTACTTTTAATACACAGCATGTAGGTGTAGCATGTTGATTTTTCATATAAGGGACCAAGGATATGGGAGGTAAGAGAATGTAAAGGGCTGGACAAGAGAACTAGCATGGGATTTTCTTTCTTTTTTTTTTTCCAGAGAGTATTGGAAGGACATGTGTTTGATGTGAATTGTTGCAGGTTTTTCCCGTCAGGCCTTGTGGTTCTGAGTGGGGGAATGGATGCCCAGCTGAAGATCTGGTCAGCTGAAGATGCTAACTGTGTGGTGACCTTCAAGGGTCACAAAGGAGGTACTAAGAGTGATTTCTCCAAAAGGCTTCTTTAATAATTCTCAGAGATGAATAACAAAAAAGAAATGGAAACTAGTTATCTACCAGAACATAAATAATTCATCTTAACTGGTCATTTAGATGAGCTACTGTTCGCACAAGGACTAGATATTCCTTTGCTGGTCTCTCTTGTTATTGCCATCTAAAGCTAACTAATTGCCTTACACAAATAGTTCTTTCACAATTGATAAGGTAAAAAAAAAATCACCTACTCATGTACTAGGAAAAAAAGTAGAAAATGAGAGGGAGGATGAGGTATGCTCACATCTGCGAATTATTCATCCTTTGAGTGAGTTGATAGTAAGAATTGGGTGGCAAATGACTGTATCACCAGACATCAGGAAGTAGAGCTTAGTATTGACTGTTGGCTCTATGTATTTAAGTCACAGTTCAGATTTCCAAATGGATTAGCCTATAACCAGTTAATTTCAATATGTAGAGACAGAGTGAGAACATTGTCCCTTTGTAATTGGTTAATATTTTAGAAAAAAAATACATACTTTAGAAATATTTTGTCCTTAATTAGAATGTTAAAAAGGTAATAAATATGGTATCCTTTTTTTACAAGTTTGAATATTTTGAAAATGTAATAACTTTCCCAAATAACTTCTTACCTCATCTGTGCCACTTGTTTGAAATTAATTATAAATGGAGATACAAGCATTAAATGAGATGGTGCATATGAAGGATTTAGCATAATCTCTGGCATACAATAAGTGCATAATAAATGTTGTTACTATAAGATATAAAACTTAAGCTTTCAGGCCTGCCCCATAAGGTAAGCCTTGTGATGTTTTAATATTTATCAAATGTGAAAACCAGAAATTATTATTTCTAATAAAATAAGCGTTTTTCAATTGAAACAGATATGATCCTAGTTAATAGTAATTGTTCTTTAATACATACATATAATTAAAGAATTAGTATCTTCTTTAGTTAACAAGCAGGTAAGAATTTCTGCTAAATTTTCCAATGAAAAGATAAACTAGAAGTAGTTTCGTGTTTATGATAATATGAGCTTACTAAGTACCTCTAAAGTAGATTTAAATCAATTTGAAGTTTTTAAATTGCCAGTCTTTTAACTAAGGTTGGTGAATTCGGAGGTGTACATTAGTAATCCTAATCCTTTGTAATGAGCACTATATTCTTATAGTTTATGAAAACATTGAGACCAAATAAAACACCATCTTAGTTGCTTGGCTGAGTTTCTTTTTGCTTATCAGTGTAGGAAAGATGCTTACATTTGTAAATAATTTTAAGAAACCAGGTTGCATTTTCAGTTCCTTGGTTGTTATTTTCAAATTCATAAACTGTCTATATTGAAGTAGGACCTGTTGCCTCCAAGTAGTAGTAGGTGCTTCAGGCTTACTCTTTTTTTTCTGAGATCTGAGTCACAGTCATTACTTGCCCCACATACACACATTTGTACATTGCTCCCTAGCATCTCTTAAAATAGCTTACTGTGTGCTTGCTTCAGCAGCTCATATTAAAATGGAAACATACAGAGAAGATTAGCATGGCACCTGCATAATGATGACATGCCAAAAAACCCAAAACTAATGTAATAGTAAACCTTGCTATTTTAGTGGCGTATACTTTTTAAAAACCTATGTCTAGAAATATGAAAGTTGCTCTGTTTCTTACTAAGACTTACTTCAGTCATCATTTCATCTAATTTCCCAGACTTTGGTTAGGATGTTTACATGTAATTCAGCTGAATCGTTTTTGAAGGTAAATGCATTTTCATAATCGTTTATATGTTGCTGACCTGAATCTGTTTGGGTAGATAGCTGAAGACTTTGTGGCATCTGATAGTGTTTAGCTAATGTCTTACAAACATATCCTTGCTACTAATAGCTTCTTTCTAAAGTAATTTCTCATAAATTCCTGCTTCTATAGGACTCCTCTATCCTTTTATTCTTATCCAAAGGTGTAGCGACCAAGACCAGATGCCTCTATATTGTGAGTAATATTTTATTAGCTAGAGGATGATTATATTTTTAGAAAAAAGAAAAACCATCTAGATGGCTGCTTTTTGCTGGGTGTTCTTGAAATTTGTACACAGGTAAGACCATTGACATCTTGCCAACCACAGCTATAGCATCGCAGCTGTAAAACCAAAAGACAGAAAAAACCTTGCATCACTTTCATGGAACTCAGTAAGATTTAAAAATAGCAGTTGGAACATTCTATAAGGACATAAGCAGATTTTTGATTGCTTTGATAAGACACAGAGGCCCTGCCTCTGTATTGAGGATTCTTTCAGATTCTTGAAAGTTCCAAGGTCCTTTTCTAAATAGATTTATATTGAATATGTTGTAGATGGTAAGTGGATTTTCTAAACTCAGAGTACTTTAGCATTACAAAATATGCTAAGAAACAATATATACCAGCAAAATATGCTGCCCTCCTTAGATCTGCTCTGAGGGAACGGCTATTTTAAAAAAAAATCTTGGCTGTGGTGACCTTTATCCAATTAATTATGAGAATTTCATGTCATTTTTCTTTTTTTAAGATTTATTTATTCATACAGAACTGGGGTACAGACCAGAGATGCGGAGGGTGAGAGGATTCACCAGAGACAGTGGGGAACAGAACAGGCAGATCTACTGAAACATTCTGCTGAGGGGAGCAGTATGGGAGACAGGAGAGGTCTACTGAGCCAGATGGGTCACCTCCCTGGCCAGAGAAGAAATTCGTGATGCAGTGACTGGTGATAGTTTGATAGTGCTGAGACTTAACCCCTTTTGCCACCAGAGAGGTCCCCCAGTTTAATTTTTATTGTAAATTGGTATATATGGAAATACATTGATCAGGTCTCCCCTGAGTTGTCTCTAATCTTTTTCTTTTTTCTAGTTAGGGCCTAAATTGTGACATTTTCAGAAAATCATCTGTTTTCTGAAAAGAGCTTTCAAAGTGAAATATTCAGTAAGAGTTGAGAGGCATATGGTAAGTTGCATGGGTCATTCCATGCAATGTGTTATACTGAGTTGCTATGTAGTTTTTGTCACGTTTTGTATCTGATGTTTGTATTGATCTCAACTTGAGAAGAATGAGAGCAAACTAAGCATCACCAATTTGCCACATGACTTTTGGAAAGGCACTCTTACAAAACTCAGTCTGCAAGTATTTATTGGCATTTACAATGGGATCAAATGGGCTTTAATAAAACAAGTACTAGCTTTACGTGTAGAGACATACTACCTCTTCTTTGTATAATCCTGTGTTATCACAGAAGTGCCACAGAACTGTAACTTATGTCCATGACTATTTGTACTTTTTTATTCTGTGTGGTTCCTAGGCCAGGGCCCATAGCAAATATTCAGATGATCAGTAATGAGCTTCAAACATTATGAAGTCTGTGGACATTTGAATTTTGTAATCCTGTGGATCTTACTTAATCTTTTCCAGCAGGCAGTGCCCCTGTTGAAGTATGGTGCAAGGGTCAGGTAGGTGTGTCTGCTCACTTCCTGCGTGGCTCCTCTAGCACTGCTCTGGCAAAGAGGAGCACTGATTCACACTGCTTTGTTGCACACAGGTGAAGTGGAAATCCAGCTTACCTTTGGCCTTTCCCCTTTCACACCTCTGCAGTGAAAGTGAAGCACTGACTTGTACCACCTTCTAGCCTCTTGGAGGGTTTATCATACAAGCTCAGGTCTTTGCTGACTCACAGCAAAGAGGGGTTAGAAGTGGAATGCTGCTTCCCTGTTCTCTGTGTCCCCTTACTGCTACCATGTGGAGGTAGAGCCTCAGTGCACCACTGCACCCAGCTCCCAGCAACCGGCTGAGTCTGGTCAGTATCACTGGGCAGGGGGAGTTGAAGTGTTGCTTTTTCCTTCCTTGGGAGATGGAATAAAATATCACCTCCCTCTCCAACCCCATTGAAACTGTGGGGATGTGGAGGTAATTGGGTTTTCTGTTGATACTTGAATTAGGTGGATATTGCCAAAAAGGTTTTCTGTTCTGTTAGGCCACGCCTTTGACAGTCTTTTGTCTAAGGGCACAGACTTTTTTTGGATTGTTTTGTTTTGATTATCTGTGCCTGTTTTTTAAATTAGTCCTGTGGTGGATGCTTCTGCAGTGCCCTGTCCAGGATATATGGGAGGCCATATGGAAATCCAGGGAACTCATTGCCAAGTTGCTCTTCAAGTTCTGAGATTCCTAGATGGTCTGCTTCTTTCCATCATTTATTCTCTAGGCTTGTTGGTTGTGACCATGTTTTTATAATTGTGAGGGGAAGGAGCTGCTACTCCATCTTGACCAGACTGAGGGGGACTAACCCTTTCAGTCAGTTCTTATTAGAAGCAGCAGGATCTTTTTTTTTTTTAAGTAATATAATAGTTTATTTTTACATCATTTTGTGCCTTTTCCCATCTCAGTTGTAATCCCCATGGGCTTCCCATCACCAAATCATCCGTGTGCCATCATCATAGTCCAGTGCACTTCCCCACCCCCACCGTTTTTTATCCCACTCCCCACTCCATCCTCATAAAATGTCTCTGATATATAGTTGTTCAATATTATTATTTTCTCTCCTTGTCCTTTATACTCCTAGAAGCAGCAGGATCTTCTAAGACAATGATTTCATACCGGACTGAAATGCTTACTTAATTTTTGTTAAAAAGTAGGATTAAAAAAAAGTATTTAGGGCCCTCCCTGGTGGCGCAGTGGATTAAAATGCAGCACTATGAAGCTATCCACACCCACTGCAGAGTTCTAGCCCTCCCTGAGGGCTGATACATGTGGTGTGGCAGATTTCTCCTGTCTCACCAGTTGCTCACCTCAGCAGTGTATTTCAGTTAATCTGCCTGTTTTGTTCCCCACTGTCTGTGGTGAATCTCTCACCGCCCCTCATGCCTGCACTTCTGGCCTGTACCCCAGTTTTACATAAATAAGTAAAACTTTAAAAAAATAGGATTTAAATATAGGAACCTCCCCTTGTGAACAGGCCCAGCCAGTAGCACAGATTTCGTGTGTGTCTGGAAGGATGCCCTTGGGTTCCTTTTCTACTTCATCTTAGGGTCTTTTTTCCCCTCTTGCCAGGTATCCTGGATACAGCCATTGTTGATCGGGGAAGGAATGTAGTATCTGGCTCTCGAGATGGGACAGCACGACTTTGGGACTGTGGGCGCTCAGCCTGCCTGGCAGTCCTTGCAGACTGTGGCTCTTCTGTCAATGGAGTGGCTGTCGGTGCTGCTGACAATTCCATAAACCTTGGCTCACCCGAGCAGGTGCCCAGTAAGTTGGTAACAATAGTGCACTTGTTTTCTTAGGACCCTTCAGTGTTTACCTTTGTTTCTCCTTTTCTTTCTTATCCTTTCCTAGTCTGTACCTGGTATATCTGTTTTTGCCATTAAGGTGAATGTTTATTGCATACCTACTATGTTTCTCTTGCTTTGAAATCTACAACTGAAGTTAATGTCATGGTCACAGAATTAGCAGAATTAGAGAAAACTTTTTTTAAACAGGAAAAAAAACTTTAAAAAAATTTCATTGCAGTCCCCACCGGTTTACATCATTGTTAGTTTTTGGAAGTATGGGATCTCCCAGTATAACTTGGCAGATGAGATTAATGCCCATAAAATAGAAAATAGTAAGATTTGGGCTGAGATAGCATAGTGATTTTTAATGCAAATATAATCATTTTTTGGAAGTAAATGGTGTTGTAGGTTATTATGGATGAGAAAGTGTGGGGTGAGGGGTAAGGGTAACAGTAGTTTGCATCAGAACAGCTTGGAAATGAAAATGAATATTGGGGTCAAAATATACTTCTAGGTCAGAGGTTAGAATAAGAGTAAGAGTAGTGATCTTAGGAAATAGATTGATTAGCTCTGGTGATTCAGAATGATAAAGGTAACTTGCATTCTTTTTTCACTTCATTCTTTTTATCTTCACTTCCTTCTGTCCTGGTCCCATCTGCCATCATTGCATGTGCTATTCTTCTGTAATCCATTCTCCTCAGAGCAGCCATTGTGGTCATTTAAAGATGCCATCATTGAATGTGCTATTCTTCTGTAATCCATTCTCTTCAGAGCAACCATTGTGGTCATTTAAAGATCATAATCAAGTCATGTCACTTTCCTACTTAGTAAAAGTTACCACTTCTGTGAATTTTGACAAGTGTTTAGTCATATAAACAATACCACCATCAGAATATTAAACATAATAGATGTTCTTTGTAAGTGAATTATTAACACAGTATAGCCAGTCAGTAGCCACCAGTGTCTGCTTTCCGGTACTGCTAGCAGATTAGCCTCACCTGGTATTAATAAAGTTCTTCTGTCCTGCAGGTGAACGGGAGATTGGAACAGAGTCAAAAATGCTGTTATTGGCCCGGGAAGATAAGAAGCTTCAGTGTTTAGGACTACAGAGCAGACAGCCAGTAAATGGTTCCTTTAAGTGGTTTCTTTGAACTTTGAGTTCACTTGCGTCACTCTGATTCTTGGAAAATTGTTTTGGAAACATTTCTACTTTCTCCCAGTATTCACCATTTAAGGAAGTTGCACAAAGGTGGCACAGTAGAGTGATTTGGATTGCGATAAGGGCAACATTTAAATCCCCGCTCTTCCACTTAATGTCTGTGACATTGAACAAGTTTTTTAACATCTTTTTTTTTTTTTTTAAAGATTTATTTACTTGTGCATACAGAGGCTCGGGGCGGTGAGAGGCTTCACCAGAGTCAGAGTGGAGAACAGAACAGGCAGATCAACGAAGTACACTGCTGAGGGGAGCAGCGGGCGGGTCAGGAGAGGTCTGCCACGCCATGTGGTCACCTCCGGGGCAAGTGGGGATCGAACTCATGCGGAAGTGGCTTTAGCTTCTCAGTGCTGTGTTTAACCCGCTGCGCCACCAGGGAGGGCCTATTTAACCTCTTTGAGCCACAGTTTGTCAGGCCAAACTGATCGTAGTAAGACCTGCCTTGTAGAATTATGTGAGAGGATTAAATACTTGACTGTTTTGTGACTTTTGTTAGTTACTTTTCCTCTAGGTCTTATGGTGCAATATGTAAAATGATGAGGTCGTAATAGATTCCTCTCTGCCTCTAAAGTAACATGAAGAAATTTTGAGTAAAGAACACTCACATTCAGGGCTCTCAATTCATGAACTGGAACATCTTTTGTAGAAGAATTGGTTGAATTTCCTTCCTCATCATCCAAAGTTTTACTGGGAAGACTACACTCTTAATAAGCTCTGACTTCCTTGGGATTAGATTTTTAAAATTTCTTTCATGCTCCTGTGAACATCATCTAGACAACTTTTATGATTTGATTTGGCCAGAGGCTTTGTATTTTCATTTTATGTTGTTACTTCCTTATGCTGGTGATATTTCCATTTTCAAAATTGGTTTCAAGAGCATCACTATTTTTTATAATATTGCCTTTGCACTCTTAGTCTCCATACTAACTTTCACTTCTAAAAGGAAATCAGATGTTTTTGTTTTATTTCCCTTTTTTTTAATATCCAGAAGGGCAGGTTTATTATATTTTAAAAAAAAAAAAGGAAAGGAGATGATGCTTGCACAGACACAAGTGCGCAAGAAAGCTACCTCTAAAAGGGACGAGTTTCTTTCTTTTTTTTAAAGATTTATTTATTTATGTTTACAGAACTGGGGTACAGGCCAAATGCAGGGGGGTGAGAGGATTCACCAGAGATAGAGCTGGGAGCAGAACAGGCAGATGGATGAGGTGCACTGCTGAGGGGAGCAGGGGGCAAAACAGGAGAGTCTGTTGTGACATGTGGGTCACCTCCAGGGTGGGAATGGAACTGATGCTGCAGTGGCTTCAGAGAGCTTCATAGTGCTGTGCCTTAACCTGTTGTTAAGGACAAGTTTCTTAAAAGATACACCTGCATAGACACAGGCAGGTGATCTTTGGAGAACTGCTGCCGCTGCTGCTATTATCCAAAGGGAAAAGGTTGGTGAAAAGAAAGTTGCGTGGTCACAGGCGGGCAAGGGCACTGCGCTGCCTGTGGGAGTGGTGGGTTTACAAGGGACGTTGGCATAGACGCAGGTGGGCAGTCTAGGGAGGAGAGCTGCTGGTTTTCTTCCCTTTTGGGGAACAATTGAGGGAGAACTGATCAGTTTGACAGTTCTAAATCAGTCAGTTTATTTGATCACTTTAACAATACTAAATAAAAATCTGACGATTCCTTTTTCTGGATACATGGGGAGAATTGTGGTTCTTAAAATTATAGTACTTGATTTAACCGTTCTTTCCTTAAGCTTGTTTATTTTCCTACAAAGTACCTACCTTCAAAAGGTTAGTTGGAGTGTTATGAAGCAAAACTTCAATGTGTACATTGCAGAGGCTTTTCAAGTGAAGTACTGTAATGAAAAGCGGGACAAACAATAGTCACTGAGGAGTAATAGTTTGAAAACTGTTATCTGACAATATAGTATTATGCAAACTTTGTATACATCCTCAGCTAGTCTCAGGGTCCTCAGGTGCCTCCTTAGTTATTGGTGAAGTTTTAGCTTTGATTGAAAGTCCTTAAAAGAGGAAAAAAGAAAATACCAGTAAAAATTACATAATTTCCCTTTTCTTGGTATCTGTTTATTTCTGGATACAAATGAATCTTTAAACATCAGTTTTGGTTCCTGCTTGTTCCAGGTGTTCCTTTTTATTGGCTCAGACGCCTTCAACTGCTGCACTTTTCTTTCTGGCTTCTTGCTGTTGGCCGGGACACAGGATGGAAACATTTATCAGCTGGATGTGAGGAATCCAAGGTGAGTTACCATTCACTTATATGATGGAGGTCTTCTAGAAAGTGGAGATTTTTATTGGCTGTAACATTAATTTAGCTTAATAGATAGATGACTGTGGTTGTATTAAGGGTATGCTTTTTTGTTTATAAAGATTTTCCAGTGTGAATTCTTATTATTCCTGGAATGTTATTAAAGGTAGTTTGATCTGTACTGTCATAAGTGTCCTGTTGTAATGGAAAGTATCCTGTTGGAAATTAAGCTAAAATAATGAACTAAATGTTACTTAAAATATTGTGCAAAGCCTTTAATTTTATGTTCAATAATTTTTCTCTGGCCTAAGATTGATTTCTTTTAGTTTCAGTGAACTAATAACTCTTTTATATTTTATCACACCCTATTTAAAAACAGGGCTTGTTCTGCTCTTAACGCCACCCAGAGATAATCACACAACCTTTTTCTCCCAGAGTTTAACAATTTCTTTCTTTTCTTTTTTTTTAAAGATTAATTTATTTATGCATATGGACCAGGGGTACAGGCCAGAGATGCAGGGGTGGTGAGAGGATTCACCAGAGACAGTGGGGAGCAGGAGCAGGATTAGGACAGGCTGGTGATGAAGTACATTGCTGAAGGGAGCAACGGGTGGGCCAGGAGAGGTCTGCCATGCCATGTGGGTCACCTCCCAGCATGAGGATTGAACTTGTGCTGAGGTGGCTTTAGCTTTGTAGTGCTGTGCTTTAACCTGCTGCACCACCAGGGAGGGCCCAGATTTAACAGTTTCCACTGTCCTTTTCCTTCCTTTGTTCAACTGACATTTATTGAATGACTTTGGGGACCAAGCTTTATACAGACTCTAGAAAAGATCATGCTTAGTGAAATAAGCCAGGATGAAAAGGAAAAATACGGGATGGTTTCATTCATAGCAGGAGTATAACAGACCAGGCAAGAAAACTAATAATAATAATGAACAGTTATATACCAGAGACATTTTATGGGGGTGGAGTGCGGAATGGGATCAAAAACAGTAGGGGGGCCCTCCCTGGTGGCGCAGCGGGTTAAAGCACTGCACTAAGAAGCTAAAGCCACTTCCGCATGAGTTCGATCCCCTCCTGCCCCAGAGGTGACCACATGGCGCGGCAGACCTCTCCTGACCCGCCCGCTGCTCCCCTCAGCAGTGTACTTCGTGGATTTGCCTGTTCTGCTCCCGGCTCTGTCTCTGGTGAAGCCTCTCACCGCCCCTGAGCCTCTGGCCTGTACCCCAGTTCTGTATGAATAAATAAAAATCTTAAAAAAAAAAAAAAGTAGGGGAAGGGAAATGCACTGGACTATGGTGATGGCACATGGGTGATTTGGTGATGGGAAACCCATGGGGATTGCAACTGAGATGGAAAAATGCACAAAATGATGTAAAAATAAACTATTATATTATTTAAAAAAAAAAAAAGATACAGACTCTGCCTTTGAGACACTTGGAGTCTCCTAATAAGATGGGCAAGTAATTGTCATTCAATGTGATCAATAGTCTGCTGCAGCTGTACATTGGAATTTGAGGATGCACTTAGGGAGGGGGAAAAGGTGACACTGCTTTTCCAAGGCAGGTCTTATGCAGCAGGATGTTAGCAATTAAAGATAGAAGCACCTGCCCTAGGTAGACTAGAGTCTATGAAGCATGAAGTCATGTACAATTGTGGCACTTCCACGGGTATCTCATGTGGTTTAACATGATATGTACATGGTAAGTGGGCCATGGTGAAAAGTGATGTCCAACAGGAAAACGGCTTGCTTAGTGATGTCTAACCTGCCATCCTCAGGAGTTTGGACTTTATTCTGAGAGCAGTAAAGAAATACCAGCTAAGTCATGAACTTACATCTCTTCTACATAATGTTTTAAAATTTATTTATTTATGCATTCAAGAATTTATTTATGCATACAAGAGGTGCAGGGGGTAAGGAGATTCACCAGAAACAGGGTAGGTAACAGAACAGGCAGGTCCACTGAAATGCACTGCTGAGGGGAGCAGCGGCTGGGCCAGGAGAGGTCTGCTGCACCGTGTGGGTCAGCTGCCTGGCCGAGGGTCAAGCTCCTGCTGCAGTGGCAGTGGATAAATTCATGGTGCTGAGCCTTAATCCCTTGTGCCACTATAGAGGGCTGTTTTCTACATAATTTAAATTATTTTTTTTTTGCACTTGTCTCCATGGGGATGGGGACTCTCTGATCACTTTTGCAAAAATCACTCTTACATACATATTTAAATTGCTTCTCACTCACCTTTCTTTTTCATTTTACAGAGTCCTGACAGCTTTAATATTTCACAACGGGTCATAATTTTGTCTATAAGTAAAAAATAATATGTTATCAATATTGGTATCTTAAACTCCTGTCAAGCCTCCCCTGAAAACTGGAGATATTGGTGGTAACTTGGTTTGTTCAGCTCAATGAAATGTTTAGATTCACTCCGTGGTAGTTTTGAATGGATTTTCTTTGTCTGACAGTTAAGGATCTTGCCTGGAAAAAAAACAAAACATATATGTGAATGTTTATCTCTATCCAATTTTGTCCTGTTTGCTTTTCTGTGATAAATACTACATGTTGAATGTAATCAAATATTGCTGTTGAAGAAAAACATGAAATTGCACCTTTTATTCTAAATTCTAGGGTTCCAGTACAAGTCATCCACAGATCAGGAGCTCCAGTTCTGTCACTGCTAAGTTTCAGAGATGGATTCATTGCTAACCAAGGTGGGTGCAGGGCCCATTTGGAGAGATGGTTTTGGATTGTTAATTAGACATAACTTTTTTTTTTAAGATTTATTTTTATTTATTTATGCATATAAGAACTGGGATGTAGGCCAGAGGTGTGGGGGTTGAGGATTCCCCAGAGACAGTGTGGGGAGCAGAACAGGTGGATCTACTGAAATATACTGCTGAGGGGAGCAGCAAGCGAAACAGGAAAGATCTGTTGTGCCATATGGGTTAGTTCCCTCTCAGGGAGTAATAATTAAAATAAACAAAATTAACAAGCAGCTATAAAACAGAGACATCTGTAGGGGAGGAGGACAGAGAGGGGTCAAAATGGGCAGGAAGAGCACAAGGGACATGGTGCTGGTGAGCAGATGAATTGGTGGTGGGAATTTCACAGGGACTAGTCCTGAGAGGAGGAAGCATGGATTGTACAAAAAGGAAGAGTGCTGTGAAATATATAAAATAAAAACAACTCCTTTATGTACAGTTTCCTCTTAAGTTATTGAAATTTTCTTTCTGCCTTTCAGGTGATGGAAGCTGTTTCATTGTACAGCAAGACTTAGACTATGTCATTGAGCTCACTGGGGCCGACTGTGACCCTGTTTACAAGGTATAATAAGAGACCAGCCTGGGTATTCTCACCTGGGATCTAGGGCATTGAGATTAATTCAGCTACTTTGTGGTCATTAGAGATGATAAAAGACTTAGGCATGCTGACAAAGAAGTCAGAATTTTGAATCACAAATGACTTATTCCTTTAGTGGCTCTAGAAATTTGAAAAGTCACTTCACCTCCCCAGTCTGCTCATTCATCAGTAAAATGGGGGTAATAGTGAGATAATGCATGTGAAAGATCTTTGTAAATTTAGCTGTCATCATTATTGTTATTATTTAAAATTCAGTACTGATTGTCTCATTTGATGACAGTAGAAGAGAAAAATGAAAGAGGAAATAATATTTATGGACCAGTGCTATATATTTTACATATATTATTTAATCATGTTATCATTCTTTGAGGTATAGGTATTATTATTTCTGTTTTTATAAAATAACACAATTTTAAAAAAATTACAATTAATGCATATTTATAAATATTCAAATAATGTCTTTTAGACTTAAAAGTCTCCTTTAAGACCTTCTTAGTCCCACTTTTCTTTCCAGGAGTTACTAACATTAACAGTATGGCATATATCTTTCAGGACTATTTTTAGAGAATATGCACTTATTTGTGTGCTTATGCATTTATTTATATAAGTAATATAATCTGATCTTTGTACATAATTGGGACAATTCTATGTGTATTGCCCTACGATATTTTTTATTTAACATCTTAGAGCTCTTTTCAGAGAGATGCATATAATCCGCTTCATTTAAAAGCATTTCCTGTGTTGTGTTCTAATTGTGAGCTAACAGTTCTTCCAGTTTTAGCTGGGCCCCTATTGGTTGAGAATGTTGCTCCATATTAGCAAACCTGAGATTCATATTATTTCTGCTAAATTAGTAGGTTTTTTTTAATAGATTTGTTTGTTTATGCATACAAGAACTTGGGCTTAGGCTATGGTTGATGAAGGGATTCACCAGAGACAGAGGGGGGAACAGAACAGGAAGATCTCTTGAAATACACTGATGAGGGGAGCAGTGGGCGAGGCAGGCGAGGTCTGCTGTGCCATGTGGGTTATCTCCTTGACCAGGGATCGATCTCATGCTGCAGTAGCTGGCAATGGCTTGATATTGTTGAGACTCAACCCCTGTGCCATCAGGGAGCCCCTAAATTAGTAGTTGCCTATCTCTAATGGGTTTGCTTTCCACTTAAGCCAATTAGTTTCTCTATTTTGTAGTCATAAGTGCCCTTGACCTTGGCCATACATTTTAAAAATATATGTCATGAATATAATTCTTCTCAGCCTTTTGGAATCAATAAAACTTCTCAGACTTCATTGTTCTAATGGGAGCCAGTGACAAGGCTCTGTCTTTTTAATGTGAGAGTGCCAGACTTCCTTTAAGCTGTGAACTCTTGTCTTCCAGGTAGCCACATGGGAGAAGCAAATCTACACATGCTGCCGAGATGGTCTCGTACGACGCTATCAGCTCTCAGACCTCTGATGCCTTGGAGGGAAGATTCCCCAGATGTTAAGAAACACTGACTGACCCTGATAATCCGTGAACAAAAACATCATTAGTCTTTCCTAAGGACCGTGGCCTTTTGTTGTCATGGGCACCTTTTGCAAGTCCCAAGAAGTCAGCTACTTGTGGACCTATCATGCCATGACAAGACCTTGTTTGGACAGAGTAAGAAGATTGTTTGTGCTACTGCATTTGCCTCAATTTGTTTAAACTCTTTCCTGCAACACACTGCAAGGATATGGATGCTTGTGGTTTGATCTCATACCAATTGTGTTAAATGTTTACAAGTATCAGAGGACTAAAGCCTGTTCTCTGAAGCAAATAAAGAGAATATGTTTGAAGGAATCTAAATTTAAAAGAATTTGTTATTCTGATGCCAACAAGAAGCCCATCAAGCTAATGGAACTCCTTTTCTGGTCACTTCTTCACGCCTGGTCACAGAGAACAGAGCTTGGCAAGAGCAGTAAATAATCCATAAGCAGCAACCTGGAGAATATTCTTATAATAGGTGGAATAACCAGCTTTCCTGGTTTTCCTTAGACTACAGGGCTTTCTTCTGTGTGGAACTTCCTTTGCCAAGTAAGACCAGGGCTGCTTGAGGCAAATTGATATGGTTGGTTAGCCCTATGCCAGTGATGAAGTTGAATCACAATCATCATAAAGGCAGTGCCTATCAAAGTATGGTCCCTGGAATAAAATTCTTGGACCCCACCCCAAACTTGATTCAGAAATTCTGTCTGTATTTTGACACACTCTGCAGGTCATTTTGAGGTACACTGAGGTTCAAGACATAGAAGAAGAAATGGCAAAGGACTCTATTCACCGCTGGGACCCAGGACTCCCAGGATGGCAAGGCTGGAGAGGATAGCGGGGCTCAAATAGTGAGGGGGCTCAAATGCCAGGTAAGGAGCTTGCTTGAACTTCATTAGGTTGGCAGTAAGAAGCCAACCTAAGCGAGGGAATGAACGTGGTCGTCTCTTCTTGGCATACACATAATTTAGGTACTCCATAATTTACTTTCATATAGTAGCTCAGTTCTTTTCATCTTAGTACCTTTAAAGCTTCTTCCTTTTAACAGTTTTTAGAGTATGAATCTTTATTATTTATATTATAGAGATTAGGGAAGGTTTCTTAGGAGAAGTAACCCTTGACCTGTGTGCCATGTAGACTAACATTCAGATTTATTTACAGAAAGAAGGGAATCCCTTGCTGAGGTAATTGTATGATGCATAGAGTTCTTAAAAGTATAAAAGTATATTCTCATGGAATTGTTACAACTACACCGTGATCTATAGGTAGCACACTCAAGCAATTTGTCAAGGGTCATAGAGGACAAAAACTCAAACACCTTTTTTTAAGATTTATTTATCTCTTTATGTTTACAAGAGCTGGGGTATAGGCTAGAGGTATAGGTGTGTTAGGGGATTCACCAAAGATGGGAACTCATGGCAGCAGAGGCTGCCAAAAGCTTCATAGTGCTTAACCCCTTGTGCCACCAGTGAGGCCCATCGAACACAGTTTATCTTAAAATCTCACTTTATTTCTATCATATCCCATTGCTCAATTGAGTCTATATATTTAATCTTATAACACTCTTAAAAAGTGTTTTACAGGTCAAGGAAAGTGAGTAATAAGAAATTCAGTACCAACCTGAGGCATGATTTGGCCTTGCCTGGTCTGTCTCCATAGCCTGTGCTCCTTTCATTATACCATGTGGTCATAAGACCTCTGGAAACAGAACAGTTTCATTTAAGGAGTGATTTGTGATAGAGTTAGGTAGACCAGGAGTGAGATAATCCAGAGCTCAGAAACAGTGACATCTAAGAAGCTTAGAGAGTATCTAAGAAACCAGGTGAAGAAAAATAAAAACAGGATGGTTCTCAGAGCATGGAGTTATTTGCTCCTCACTCAAGGACTCAGCCATTGACATCATGGTCATGAGCCCCTTTTTCATCCATTTCCTGTTGCTGAATGCCTAAACCAAATTGTGAAAACAAAACACTGCAATTCATTGAGAAGCTTACTCACTATTTAATCAGTAAATCCCTGGAATTTATACCCTGGTTGTGATGAAGTCACTCTTGACAGCCACTCTGAAATCTAGACCCAGCAGGAAAGAGCAGAGGCTAGCTCTCTAGCTTGTCTGTTGTGAATGGAACAATTCCCAGTTAGCACAGACAAAGCTTTTTTCCCCATAGGACTGAGGGAGGGCATCCCCTGTGAGAAAAGGTGAACAAACGCCCATTCACAGCAATTACAGACTTGATGCAACTCCATGCTATACCTTGTTTCTCGGCTTTCAGATGCCCCCTTGTGACTCTTGTGAGATGTGCTTCTATTTCTCAGAATGAAAAGCCATGTTCTGAAAACTTTTAATTTAAACTAATTGCTATGCACCATAAAAGCTATGGTTTCTGAGTGAGTGACCTTTCTGAGGGTCACATAATCCAGTTCTATTCTTTCCTCTAAGACAGAACTGAAAGGGGTTTACTTGGGCAGAAAGGACTACAACTCCCATAGTGCCCCTGTGCTGTTGTCAGGGCAACCAAGGAATGCAAACTAACAGCAGTTCTGGAGATAGGACTCTCCACCTCTGACTGCCAGCCTGCCAGCCATGGGCCAGGATTATTATTCTGTGCTCCAGATCACTCGCAATGCAGAGGATGCCCAGATCAAGAAGGCGTAAGTTGGAGCAAGACTGAGGCTTTTGGGTGGATTGGGCAGGCTCCACCCACTCTTTCAAACTGAGTTTTCCTGCAGTGTTTTGGGCAGGCAAAGTAAACCTTGTACTTTCTCTTGCACCCTGCACATCTGTATCCTGGCTTTGACCTGAGTCAGGGTTCCTAGTCCATTATGCTCTTCCCTCCATACCCTGTCTCCTCTCTTGGATGCTCTATTTTCCTAACAGTTAAATGAGGACAACGGAGACATTTGAACTTTATCCTGAATATTATGGATTGGGAGCAGGAGAGTGATCAAGCCAGATGGATGTTATAAATATGGGTTTTTGACACAGAATATATTGCATTTCTGAATACTTCTATCAAGTGTTGGGGACTTTGTGGTCCATTTCTAAAAATGTGTAGGACAGGAGAGAGCACATTTTCCTGAAAGAAAAAATTTCTACAAATGTTTATTAAGTATAGCCATATGGATTAGGTACAGTAGCACTTAATTGGGATGTAATTGTTAATCAGACAGACATGCTGCTTAATGTTGTTGGCAAATACAGATGTTGAAATGAAGTCTCAACAATTATGATGAGTACTATAAAGGGAATCAGAGGGTACTGAGGAAGTGATGATGGAAGGAGAGACACAGATGCCTTCAAAGGAATTCATGACGATGGTCAAGGCAAAGAGGAGGCTTGAAGTAAGGCAGGGCTGGAGAGGGGAAGAGAGTGGACTTGGCAATTAATTGGATCATTGCAGGTAGAGAAAAAGCGAAGAATTGGGATAATTCAGTCAATAATAACTAGAATTCACCTTAGAACAATGTAGGGGATTGGGCTGCTGAATTCTACATGGCTAAAAGTCTACTTATAACTGATTCCCCCTAAACTTTACTAATGGCCTGATGTTGACTGAAAGCCTTGCTGGATAGCATAAGTAGTTAATAATATATTTTGTATATATTACATACTGGCTCCTTACAAAAAAAGTAATAAGGAGAAATAAAATGGCTTCAAAAATCATAAAGGAAAATATATTTATATATATATATACTTATATATATATGGGTTCACATATGTGAACCCATGAAGTTCAAACTGTTGTTCAAGCAAGGGTCTACATTCACTGTACACTTATTGAATATGCAGAGTCTGTTCTGAAAACCTCCCATCGTTATATCGTATAACTTTCACAACAACCCTGATATAAAAATCCCATGATTATATCAAAAATCAGAATATAGAGTAAGTGGCACAACCAGTATTCAAACTCCGTGCCTACTACCATGGGTCAGCTCTGAGGGAGCTGAGTGGGTAAGTGTAGACAATCTACGGTGTGGTTGGAGAAAAAGATACAAACTCAAGAAACAACTAGAGAACAAGTCAGAACAAGGTGTGATGCTGGTTACGTTTTAGGGCATCTCATTGACCAGTGGGACCGGAGTAGAGAAAGCTCAACAAAATGCAGAAATAGAAGATCAATTTAAGCACCAGAAGGCCTGAATCCAGGCTTTTTTGCCTACTAGCTGTGTAACAGGGAAATTATTTAACCTCCCTGAGCCTCAGTTCCACCCTCTGTATCCCTCCCCCTGCAAAATAAGGGTTGTTGTGTTTTGTTTGCAGTTCTCATAATTGATTGTGAACTTTGTCATCGAAAAGAACTGGTGTAGAGTCTAAGGGAGGTCGTGACAACTGCTTTTAAGTTTGAAGTAGAGCAGATTCTGTTAGACGCCCTCCCCTCCACCCAAGGTTTCTCATGGATAGAGGAAGAGTTGAAAGACAGTAGACCCAACTAAGAGGGAACGTTGCCTAAAAGTCCCAAGGTGAGAGGGACTGCCTGCGGGGCAATGAGCTTTTATTCCCCACTGCCCATGCTAGACACTGAAGACATAGAACTGGATCCAGCATCAAGGAACTCACAGCCTATTCGGGGAGAGACTGGTCAGTCAAGACCAACAGGAGCACAGTATGCTAAGTCCTGGCTGCTGGGAGTAGAGTGTCTCACTAGAATGGAGGCTGCAGTCAGAGAAGGCATCTGGAGGAGATGCCCCCTGAGCTGAAAGTTGAGGGATGAATAAACACTTACAGGAGGAGATGGGAGTTGCTAGCAGGGGTGAGTGTTACAGGGAAAGGGCCAGAAGGTCAAAGCATGGGCAATGCATTGTAGGAAGTTAAGAGCATGCAAGAAGAGCACGAGAAGTCATGGGGGCAGAGTGAGAAGGCAAGAGACAGAAGTGGGGGCTTGAATCCTAGAGTGACTGGGTTTCATACTGGAGATAATGGGGAGCCAGTGAAGGATTTAGGCGAGAAAGAGATGTCAGGGAATATTTTAGAAGCATCAGATTAACAAAAAGAGTGATAAACCAGCTAGAGCACACAAAATAGATTGAAAGGAGAAAAGTGGAAGCAGAGAGACATGGCTCAGTAATAGTCAGGGATCGGAAAAGGCAGGAACGGAACATTATTTAGAAAGAAAAGTTGACTTGCCTGGGGCTATAGGATGTGGAGAGAGTTAAGTAGCTGCTCAGCTTTTGGCTGCAGTGCCTGGACAGCAGAGGGGGAAGGTGGAGAGTGGAAGCGTGGTTGCATGTGGGCTCACTGGTTTTGTGGGGCCTTGGGACGTTGGAGCGGAGATGTCAGCCAAGCAGACAGTTGGAAACGTGAGTCTTGAGTCAGGGAAGTGGCGTGCTCTGAGGCAGAGATGTGGGGGTCTTCAGAGAGTGGTGGTAGTTGGGGCTGGGGGACAGGCGGAGATGCCTGTGGAGCACACGGTGCCGGGGGAGAGTGGGACAGCAGAGAACCCCCCCACCAGTGTGGAAGTTGTGAAGGCGGAGGAGCCTGTGAGGCCACATTTGTACTGAGCAACCTAGGACCCGCCCCACCTACCATACTCTGCTTTCAGGCGGAGTACCATACTCTAGTGGGCTGGCCCATCAGAATAGAGGTGTATTTTATACAGTCTTATATAGACCAGTGATACACCAACAAGATTTTATTTTTATTTACTTGTATATTTTTGAGGATTTATTTATTTATGCATGTAGAACTGTGGTACAGGCCAAAGGTGTGGGGTGAGAGGATTCACCAGAGACAAGAGTGGGGAGCAGAACAGGCCGACTGACAAAGTACACTGCTGAGGGGAGCAGCGGTTGAGGCAGGAGAGGTCTGCTGTGCCATGCAGACCTCCCAGGGCAGGGGCAGTGATCTAACTCAGTGTATAGACAAGCTGAGGGGTCCAATAGTGCTGTGCTTTAACCCATTTGCCATCAGAGAGGGCCCCAAGATTTTATTTTTTAAAAGCTATCACTGAAGAAGGCTTAGCCTTTTGACTTTGAGGCCTTTAAGGGGCAATACCAAAAGCCTGCTATTTGTTAATGAATGACTGGCATGGCCTGTCTTTCCTACTAGAAGGTGATTTCTCAAGTGGCTCGTCCAGTTCTCTGTGTTCACAGTGCCTGGCACCAAGCAGGAGTAAATAAATGACTGATGTGAGCTCACAGTTCCACACGGCAGAATGGATGTATGACTGCCTGCAGAGACCTCCTGCCCTCAGGCCCCCAGTACATCTAGTGTGAGGAAGCATAGGTAGAGGGCTGGGAGGGAGGAGAGTGGGGTGTTTGTTCTCAGCTCCCTTTCTAGGAGATCTTCAGGCTGGCCTAACCCCTTACCTGAAGATCACAGCGTGCCATGGGTCCTGACCACAACCACACACTCCCTCCTGGCCTCCCCTTTCTGCTGTAAGCTCAGAGGTGGGTTGGCAGCTCTGGGCTCCCAGCTTTAGAGTGCTGTGCTGTCCCTCATGGTTTCTCCTACTTGGGGAGTGTCTTGTTAAACTCCCACAAAGCATACGGTTCATGCCATTCCTTTCTCCTGGTGAGAAGCATCAATGATCCAGCCCCCTCCCCCCATGCTATGCTGAGAAGCTCCTGAGTGGTGAGGTTGGGCAGATGCCAGTGTGAAGAGGGAAAGAGCACAGAGGCAGGAAAGCTGGAAAGCAGTCTTTGGCACCATCCTTCCAGAAAGTCTGAGTGTTGGTTCAGATGTGGAGTGGGGGTAAGAGGTTCAAGACATGTATCAGGAAACCCCTGTGAGGTGTGAGGGTGAAGGGGGGAGCAGGAGTATGTGGGACCAGCCTTCAGACCACAGCGCAGCCTGAGCCCTCTGAAAGGAGGGGAACGATTGGGAGAACTGCAGGGGGTCCTGAAAAAACTCTGCCAGGCTGATGGTTGCTTGCTGCAGGAGTCCTGTATCCTGCAGGTGCTCAGGGCTCCACTATCCTGAGGCAGTGTATAGACAAGCTGAGGGGTCCCAATGGGGTGCAGCTACTGGGGCTGTCTCTCAACCAAGCTCCCTACACCAGTTTTCTCTTGAAGGTCATCAGAGCAATGCATCGCCCCAGCCACTGCAGCTTTGATTTATAACTGGGAACATCAAAGCTCTGAGGGGCCACCAGTGCTGTCACTCAGCAGCATGTCAGCTCTTTTCCTTCCTGCAGGTATCGGAAACTGGCCCTTAAGAACCACCCGCTGAAGTCCATTGAGCCATCCTCAGCAGAGACATTCAGGCAGATAGCAGAGGCCTACGATGTGCTGAGCGACCGTGAGTGATTAGGGATGAGCATACCTCAGAACATCTTGTCCCCACATCTTCATAAATACCATGTCTATGTCTCTGAACGTAGGACTCTCCAAGGGGGCTCACTAGTGACTAAGCATTCCTCTCCTGCCCAGATCCTAAACAAACTGAGGAGGAAAACAGAACAAAAAATGGCCTCTCTCAGTAGACACAAGCTAAGGCTGGACAAGGTGTCCCAGCAGAGTTCCAGGGTTGGGCTTACTGGGTCTAAGGGTCTAAGGCTGAGGCTGGGGCAGCTTTACTGAGCAGTGAGGTCTCCATCTCCCCAAGGACAGCATAAGTGTAAAGGGCAGCAAGGGGCTAGTAAGGAAAGCTCTCTCTCTGCCTGGAAATAGTGATTCTCTGCCTCAGTACACACAGTGCCCACATGTGGTCCCCTAAGGATTTGTCTTGGAGACTATAATCATGGATAGTGTGTGGAAGAATGGCCAGAAGATCACCATGATTTCTCTAGCCCTAAATTTCCAGGATTCTAGAGTTCTTAAATTCTAGGATTTCAAAGCTTTAGAGTTTGGGAGATTTCTGAGATTCTAAAATTTCAAGGGTCTAAAATTCAGTTTTTCCCTATATAAGCATAGCCATAATAACTGAGTCAAATAATGCTTAACCAGGATGGTAACCTCACTCTTAGTCTCTCTGTTCCTCTTCCAACCCTCCTGCTCCCACTGAGTCCCATCTCCTTTCTGGAGGGGCAGACCAAGACCCACCCAGAATGAAGTAAGCCTCCACCTTCTAGAGTCTCCCTCCAAAGGCTGTCAAACTGCAGGCACTTCCAAAATGAGGCTGCTTGCTCCTCTTTCTTCCCTATATCTTCCTGCTTCCCAGCTCTCCATCTGTCTTATCCTTGAGGCTGAGTTTCTCCTCAAGGTCACACATATCCACAGCTGTGAAGAGAAGCATCTATGACAAGTTCGGCGAGGAGGGCCTGAAGGGCGGAATTCCTCTGGAGTTTGGATCCCAGACCCCATGGACTACTGGATATGTCTTCCATGGCAACCCTGACAAGGTTTTCCATGAGTTCTTTGGAGGCGACAACCCTTTCAGTGGTAAGAGGACCCACCTACCCCCTTGCCTGACTTGGAAAGGACATAGCTATAGATGACTTTAAATTAAAAAAAAAAAAAAAAATATATATATATATATATATATATATATACATACACATATATCTTACTTATACACATAGTATATATAGTATATGATAAAAAAGAAACTTTAAAAAAATTTTATTTATGCATATAAGAACTGGGGTGTAGGCCAGAGGTTTGGGGTGTGTGTGAAAGGATTCGCCATAGACAGAGTGGGGAGCAGGACAGGCAGAGCTACTAAAATACATTGCTAAGGGAGAGACAGGAGAGGTCCATGTGTATTATCTACCTGACCGGGGATCGAACTCATATAGCAGAGGCTCACAATGGCTTCATAGTGCTGTGACTTAATCCCTGCACCACCAGAGAGGCTCAAAAGAAACAATTTATTGAAGACAGAAATAAATTCCTGTCTTCCATTTTCTTTCCCACTCACTGTTATCCCTTCAGAAAATTTTAATAAGTATATGAGCATGTACTTATTTTCATGTAAAACTTTTATTTTGTTGAGGAAAAGGATCATGTTGTACACATTGATTATTTTTCATTTACTACATTCCGAAGAATGTCATATCTAGATCTTCATTCAGTTAGTGACTATGTTAAGATTTAATTGCACAGGTATGTTAGTCAGGGATCAATTGCAGAAGCAAATAGCAGGAGGAAAGCAGGGAAGCAGAGTGGATTAATACAAGGGTATAATGCACCCTCTCACCTTGGAGGGCCAGGGTGAGAGGGCTCTAAAATGGCCTCAGCAATGCCTCTGAGAACATCAACTCTAAACCCACCCACAAGGACAGCCTTGCCCTCTCCAGGCTGAGGGGACTGCACCATTCCAGCCTGTGAATTTCTCTCCGCAGCACTAAACACAAGATGCAGGGCACAGAAAATCTGCCTCTACATTTACAAAGGGCTTCACTTCTAACAATAAACCAAGTAGTCCAGGGCACATGTCAAATGGTCCTAGACTGAGATCCCACCTCTACTACTTATTGGCTGTGGGATCATGAATGTTTTGCTTGGCCTCTCTGAGACAATGAGATAATAATGTGAAGAGCTGAAAAACAGCACCTACTGCGCAGTAAGCTCTAGCTTTAGCTCTTCTTCATTGTCATCTAATCCTAATGGTGGAAAGCAGGCCAGGCATAATACCTCATCCCACAGGTGCTTCATCCAGATGGATGAACTGAAGCCCAGAAGACTGCACAGCACATCAAAGGATGCAGCTTTTTCTGCACCAGATAGAAGGGGTAGGGCAACAAGAGGAGTCAAGGGTGTAGAGTTGGGCAGGAACAGAAATGAGTTTGGGAATATGCTGGTGACCTCTCAGACTTGTTAGGGATCTTCCTCTCGCCTCCATCTCAGCTGCAGACTTCATAGAAACTTGAGTCTCAAGTGATCATGGGCTGGGTTGGACAGAGAGGAAGAGGGAGGAATGACATTCTATGATTCTCCCCTAAAAGCGACAAGCCATATGTGGTACTCCCAGGTGCTGCCACCAGGGGGCACTTGCACCTCTCGCCAGAGGTAGCATTGAGGGGTACTTTTCCAAGGGGGTGTGTGTGTTTGTTGGTGGGGGCCATCAGGGAAGTGGGAGAAACAGCAGAGAGTAGCAAAGAATGATGATCACTGGGACTGCTGTGGAGGACATCTTGTTGACCTGGCCAAACACTAGTGGGAACCAGATACTGGGATCTGAAGGGGTCTTTGGACACTATTTTTCTTACTCCTCACTTCCTACCTTCTGCAGAGTTTTATGATGCAGAAGGACATGAGGTAGATTTGAACTTTGGGGGGCTCCGGGGCCGAGGGGTCAGGAAACAGGACCCCTCCATCGAGCGAGACCTCTACCTATCCTTGGAAGACTTATTCTTTGGATGTACCAAGAAAATTAAGATCTCCCGAAGGGTGAGTTACTGGCCTGGCTCCTACTGGGAACCACCACCTATCCCCTCTCACCCTACCAGTCACTTCCTCTCTAACCCTAACTGGAAACCCCAATATGGTGTCTGGTAGAATTGTGGAATCTTAGACTCATTGTAGAATTCTAGAATCTTAATTTGAAGGGACAATCGAAGGTATTGGTCTGGTTCTTTCCTAGAGCAGGAATCCCCTCTGCCACACTCCTAAACACGATGACCTTTCCTCTCACTTCTGCTGTGTCCCTGTAGGGAGTTTTGGCTCTTATAGGAGGCATTTCCTGTGTGTTCTGTCCTGGGCCACTGGCAGAGCATTTCCCCGGGTTGCCTCAGGATGCATGTCTCCTGAGAAAGAGGAAACAGTGTGAGTCTGGGAGAGAGTCCCTGAGAAGACTTGTTGAGGAAGCCCCTCAGTCCCATGGCACAGCTGTGGGGTAGGCACAGGAGCATGGCCCCCCTCATATCTTAGCCCAATGGGGGAGATGCCAATGTGTGACTCCCTGGGAATGGCATCCCTGTTGGCATGGGGAATGGAGGAATGACATATTAGGGGAATGTTTTGGGTAGGGCTCAGCTATATTGACTTCATGGTCTTCCTCCTTTGGGATTAAGAAAGACCTGCTAGAGATTCAGGGCTGGGCCCTTTGGGGTGGAAGGAGGAACTGAATTTATGTTTCTGTGTGTGTGTGTGCGCGCACATGCACATGTGTGTCTGTTAATGACCAGGACTACATGATTTCCAGAACTCAAGTTATGGACTTGTTCAACTCATGTTGACAGCCTAGCATCTCAGGCCCCAGCACCACACCACACCCTGCACTGTGGAATCCTAAATTGTCAGTTCCAATAGAATGGGAGTAGAAATGGCTCAGGGTATTCTCCCCAGTCCTGGAGGCCTGAGTACAGATCCCACGGCCCCCCCACCATCTCACTGCAGGTGCTGAATGAGGACGGGTACTCCTCAACCATCAAGGACAAGATCCTCACAATTGACGTGAAGCCTGGTTGGAGGCAGGGTACACGTATCACCTTTGAGAAGGAAGGGGACCAGGTGAGAGGGAGGGATGCTGACTAGGGTCAGTCCTTGGACTCATGAGGTGGGGAGACTGAGGATGAGGAGGAGACGCTTCTTCCTGCCCCAGGAAGCTCTGGTCTGAGGAGACCAGAATGCAGGGTCTGGGATGGGGTGGAAGGAGGTATCCCTTCCAAGAGACAGAGCCTCGCAATGCCTCTGTGCGTGGACAGTGAAGGGTCTTTCCCCATTTTACAGAGTGGGACACTGAAGCTGAGGGAGGAAAGACTCACCTAGGGTAAGAGTTCTGCAGGGAGAACCCAGCCCTAACTCTTCCCAGTAGTCTTCAGTCTTTCTCTGAAGTCCAACAGTAAGAGCTGCTCAGAAATCACTTACACATAATAATCTTAAATACTCATTTAAGGGCCCTCCCTGGTGGCGCAGCGGGTTAAAGCACTGCACTAAGAAGCTTAAACCACTTCGCATGAGTTCGATTCCCGCCTGTCCCGGAGGTGACCACATGGCGCGGCAGACCTCTCCTGCCCCGCCCGCTGCTCCCCTCAGCAGTGTACTTCGTTGATCTGCCTGTTCTGCTCCCCGCTCTGTCTCTGGTGAAGCCTCTCACCCTCCGCGTCTCTAGCCTGTACCCCAGTTCTGTATGAATAAATAAATAAATCTTAAAAAAAATACTCATTTAAATTAAAAATATGAACTTATTGTCCAAGGCATGCTGAGTCCTTAAGTTCTGAGAAGAGGCAGAGTGAGGTTAATCCTCTTGACCACATTTCTTGCCTCTTTCTTATCTGTAAAACATTTACTTCTAAAATCCCCTTCAAGACCTGGCTCCAACGGCCCCAGCTGGGCAGCATTTCCTGCCTCCTCACCCTGCTGGGTGCATCTCTGAACTTCCACTTCTGGGCCCCCCCCTTTTTTTTTAAAGATTTATTTATTTATTCATACAGAACTGGGGTACAAGCCAGAGATGCGGAGGGTGAGAGGATTCACCAGGAACAGAGTGGGGAGCAGAACAGGCAGATCAACGAAGTACACTGCTGAGGGGAGCAGCGGGCGGGTCAGGTCAGGAGAGGTCTGCCGCGCCATGTGGTCACCTCCGGGGCAGGCGGGGATGGAACTCATGCGGAAGTGGCTTTAGCTTCTTAGTGCAGTGCTTTAACCCGCTGCGCCACCAAGGAGGGCCTCTGGGTCCCTTTATCACAGTCTTGACCCAACTTGAAGCCCCACTGTGTGTTCTACCCTACTAGGCTGGAGCTTAGTAGGGGTTCTCTGCCCCCCAGTGCCCAGAAGAGACCTCAGCAGTTCTGGTGACAGAACTGAAGGAAGTGTGGCCGGTTAGGGACCAAAGAGCAGTTCTCTGACACTCAGCTCAGTGTCCCACCTGCCAGTGGGGGAGGCCAAATCCCAGGCAGCTAAGCGCATTTACTGGGCATGCTCAATGGAGAAGTAAAGTGAGGGGGGTCATGTGGCTACAGGGGGTGTGTACAGGGAATGGGGGTGGAAGGTTTTCCACAGGAGAAACTATGGGGCCAAACTGGAAAGAACCTTCTAGGAAACCTGGTCTCATCTCAGATGAAGACAGGGAGACAGTAGCCACAGGAACTTGCTCAAGGTCACACAGTCCTTACCACCCCTTGTCTCCCCCTGCCCAGGGCCCTAACATCATCCCAGCTGACATCATCTTCATTGTAAAGGAGAAGCTACACCTTCGCTTCCGCAGGGAGAATGACAACCTCTTTTTTGTGAACCCCATCCCCTTGGGGAAGGTGAGTGAGCACAGATGGGTGGCTCAAAGAGCCTGTCCTGTCCAGGCCCCATGGGGGGCCTGAGGCAGGCAAGTGGCATACTGGACTGAGCAGTGTGGGGTGCAAGCCTTCAAACCATGCTGGTGCCACACGGGGAAATCTGGCTAACTCACTGGGGAGTGTGAGTGAGCCCTTCATGCCCTCACAACTCAAGCAAGAAACAGCACCAGCCTAGACTTTGCCTCCACCCCCCAAGCCCCCATCCCCCATGCCCAACCCTGCCTCAGTCAGAGAGTCCTCAGTCTCACCCCCCACCCCATCTCCCTCCACCTGGTCCCCTTGTGCTCATCCCCACCTTCCGGATCTACAGCTGCATCCTTCACAGTCCTCCTGCTTCCCTGCTCCCCACTGCCAGGAAATCCCAGGGGTCTCCACACTCTCTCACCCTGCCACACTGCTTTCTAAGCACCTTTGCCTAGCCTTCCAGGCCCTGCTGATCTCATCCACCAGCTGCAGGCTCAGTTCTCGCCACTGAGAACTCCACCCACCTGGTGCTTATCGATGCCTCCCTTCTCTGGCTTGCTGTGGGCCCTCTCCTGGAAGTTGTCTGCCTCCTTGTCTAGCTGGCTACAGCTCCTCCCTATCCTTTGAGGTGTTTATCAGCTGCCACCACTACTGTGAAGCCCTCCTGAGTCACCCCAGAATGCTTTGGGGTCTCTCGTGGGCTCCCACACACTCCTTTACTTCCCTCTATCATAACATGTATGCACATCAACTTTACTACCAGACTGCCAGCTCCTTGAGGACAGATCACCCAGCCTTCACTCACCTCTTAGTCCTTGAACATCCTTTTGTCTCCCAGAGTCCCAGCTCAGGGCCTGGCACTGAAGCAGCTCCCGAAGGGGCTTCCTCACTCCCGCCTTTGGCCCTAATGTCCCCTAGGCTCTGACTGGCTGCACTGTGGAGGTGAAGACCCTAGATGACCGTCTGCTCAACATTCCCATCAATGACATTGTCCAGTGAGTCCATCTGCTTGGCCCTGGCCTGGGCTGGGTCTCACTGGTTGGCCTGGTAGTTGTGCAGTGTGCGTTTAGCACAAGTGGGGGGATGGGGTGGGAAAAGGACCGAAGCTCAGCCTCTACCCCAATCAAGCTGTGGGCTGCATTCACTTGGCAAATGGAGTCAAGCCACTGTGGAGTTTCACTTTCCAGTGGTGGGCAATCCTTTTTGCCTTCAGGCTTTAAAACAGAGACAAGAGCTCTGAATTGCTGCCAAAAAGTCTTTTACTCAAGAAAGGATTTCTGCTTGGGAAACTGATGGAGTTTAGCATTTCCCACCCCCAACCTAGGACCTGCTTACCTTCCCTCCTGGTTCCAGTTCCCGTATCTAAAACGAGATTCCTGGAATCCTCTGTCACAGACTCGTATTAATGGGACTTCAGGAAGCAAACTGTCTGGAACCAGCCAGTCTCCCCCCATCACTGGTTCTGGCTGGTGGAAGCTGGAGTGGCCCCCAGGCCTACTCAGTGAGGGGGGCTTGGGAGGGGTAGCAGGGCCTCTGTCCAAATGCCGCTGGGGTGCCATCTGAGTCTGCTTCTTTCATCCTCCCTGTCTCAGTCCCAGGTACTTCAAGAAGGTGCCAGGTGAAGGGATGCCACTGCCTGAGGACCCCACCAAGAAGGGGGACCTCTTCATCTTCTTCGACATCCAGTTCCCCACCCGCCTCACACCCCAGAAGAAGCAGATGCTACGCCAGGCACTGCTGACGTAACAGGTGGGCTGGAGTAGGGGGTGGAGGAAGCCAGCTGGTCTTACCCATTGCTACCACCCCCCCAGACCCCTGCAGTGTGTGCAGGGCAGACTGAAGATGGGGTGGCATGGGGTTTTTAAACTCTTACAATAAAGATTTATTCCCTATCTTCGAGCTACCCAGAATTTGTGTTCGAAGAGCTTGAAAGAGCCTTTCTTGTGGAGAAGAGGGGAGGGTGGCGCTCAGGAAGATGAGGTCTGAACCCCCACATTACCACCTTGGTAGAGTGGGGCAAGGCTCTGTGGCTTCTGAGGGTCACCAGCTCTTGTCTGATTTCTAATGACATCTGAATTTTAGTATGACCTGACCAATCTGTAGAGAATAGATGAAAAAGAGAAAACAGTCTCGCCCCGGGACTCAGTGTAAAGCTGTTATCAGAACCTTGATGGCCACTTCCCGTGGGCGCAGAGCTTCGATTGGGGCAGCACAGAGGACGTACATGCTGGAAATGGCTTTGTCTGTGCAGTGGGTCCTGGGCTAGCTCTAGGCAGAATGGGTTCGGCTCCTCGCCCTCCACTGACTCCTGGACCAGAGCTCATAAGCCTCTCAGGTTCTTGGGGAGAACTGAGTCAAAGGTGTGAAAGTGCTTGGTGAACTTGCTGCTGAGATTTCAGGGTCACAGCAAAGCTGCCAACGCCGCCTTTGGGGACCCTAGCTGCAGGCACAGTAGGGCTTGTGGGGATCACCCCTGACTCCCTACCCCCATCCCAGCTGCCTTTAATTTCAGTGCACTATGCACCTCTTCAATGCCAGAAGACCCCTTTGCTGGAATCTGAGTTTGGGCTAAGTTAGTTTCACTTCTGTGGAATGACTTCTTGGGTGGCAGAGAAAGCTCCAGTGTTACCCACATTGCTTGGATGCAGCCACTGAGAGGCCTATACTTTCACTTTAGATCTTTTTCTTAAATGGGGTCTCAACAGCACTTGTCAACCATTTTTAAGCCACCTGGGAAAAAGCAGTGATAGTGGATCTGGAGATGCAGAATCTGGACTAGGGCTCTAGGAAGCGTGTCTGCAGCAGCTGCAGTCAGCCACACCTCAGCTGTGCTACTTTCTGGCAGTGTGTCCTTCAAAAATATCACCTTTCTGTGCCCTTTTCTTAAAAGCACAGATTACAACCTTTATCTGGCAAATTTTATGGAACCAGAGGGAGAGTGAAGCCAGTTCTGCCCTGAGGCAGAGGTAGGAAGGTGATAGGAGTCCTGTTCTGAGTGGGTGGGGAGTGTGGGGTCTGGGCTGTGAACCACTAACACTCCATGACTCAAGGGCAGCGAGAAAGCCTGCTCCCAACCTCTTCCTCATGGTGAGGCTCTGAAGTGAGATGAGGCCTTATGTGATTTCTGACTTCACTGGTCTTCAGTGCTACAATGATCTACAATGCTTCAATGTCAGTCAGGGGAAAGCATGCTTATCATAGCCTATTACAGGCACTTAGGATTGAAGATCAGAGAGCAGTGGCTTGCCTGTAACCAGTTATTGAGGCCTGCAGGCCCACCATCTAGTGATTCCTGCCTCCTCTCCCACTTCTTCACTGACCCAGGGTCATGCCCAGCACCATCAAGTCTAGTCCCTCCAAGGATCTGGGACACAAGGCTGGTGACCAGCTGACAAACTTGACTAGTGCCACAAAGTGCTCCTTAAAACCTTTCCTCCGATGCACAGCAGGGGTGATCCTGCCTCACAGGGTTAAAGTGATGTTGTAGGTGCAGGAGGCACACCAACCAAGTCTTCCATTTGTGCCAACTTCTGCAGCCCAGCTGGACTGCCTGCAGCTTTCAACCCTGCCTCTACCCATGGCACGCAGCTGCATTCCTCTTGGGGTCTATAAGGCCTCAGCTTAGTATTTCAAAAGCTACGAAGTAAGGTAAAGAATCCAGGCCCTCTTTCCTTCTCCAGGAACCTAACATTCTGGAGCCCTCCCTGAGCACTGAGGGGTTGCTCTCCTGCTGACCAGGGAGGAGGGAACAAGGAGGCCAGAAGCTCTGGGCTGTGAGGCAGAAAGCCAAGCTCTCTGGGCCATAGGCGGCCTGCAGGACTGGTTCCTGGGAAGGAGTCGTCTTGGGACTTCAGCCCAGTTCAGCTGCTGACTGTGTGCCCTTGCCCTGACTGCTCTGTCCCGTTTTTGTCAGACTTCTATTAAATGGGCCTGAATGACTTAATTCCAAGGTCTATGTTTGTATGACATGCCTTGGGATTCTGGAATCTCAATGAGTCCTCTACTCCTCAAAGCAGAAGTCTTCTACCCCCCTGCCATGTGCTTTCATGTCTCTGAGGCCTGGTGGGGAAAGGGAATTGAGAAAAAAGATACTCTTGTGACTCTAGGCAGATCACCACCTGCCATATCTGTTCTGGAAAAAGAAAGGGACTAGATGACATTTATGAACCTGACTGGATGCTGGAGGTGGGTCAAACCCCTTTTCCAAGCCAAGTGGCTCCTCCCCTGCCTGCTACCAAAAGGGCCCGTGAGAACAAGACCTCTCAAAATAGCTACAGAGGGAGGAGACAACAAGGTTGTACTTGCTTTATATGGTAGCGTGATGGCTGGGTTGGGATGAAGATTCAGGTTGTGCTTTTCAAGGGACTGAAGGCTTAGGGAGATGAAGGGGGGGAGGGGTGTGCAATGGGTAAGGGAGGTGGGAAGAAGAGGAGGGGAAGTGGGGACAGGAAAGAGAGTGGGAAGGAGACTAGGAAAGCAGGGCCTGGCTGGAGCCAAAATCAAAGCCAGAGCTGGTCAGGTCAGCAGCAGAAGGGACTCAAAAGTGAGCCTCCTGGGAAGTGCAGGCAGCCATGAGGGCCCGTTTCAGCTGCTCATAGGTAACAAACATCACCACGTTCCAGGAGCCCAGGCGGAGAAAGGAGGGCATGAACCTAGGGGACAAAACATAGGTCACAGGCGGTTCCTCAGTAACCCCTGAGGCATGCTCACCCCATTGACCCTGGCATTCAGTTGAACCAACTCTGTTCCAAAGCAGGTTGAGAGAGCAAGGAGAACACACCCTGACAGCTGCATGGCTGTGAGCAAGAATCTCCCATGAGTCTTATCCATGTAACTCCCTTCGATTAGGGATGGAAGCAACTCTGGGAGCGGGAGGAGGGAGTGAAGAAGATGAAAGTGCCGGTAAATACCCGGACTAGGACCAGAAATTGACATTTGGTTGCTGCTTAGTTCCAGGTGATTCTCTACCAGCTGACAGGCCAGGTGGCCTGGCTTAGGTGAGGTGGAGGAGAGGCTTACCCTTTGTAGAAGGCTCTCGGACCCTCCTTCTGGAGCATGGTAAGGGCACAGTGCCCAGCGCTGCTATACTGGCCTGGGGCAGAGTTCATATATCTCGTCTTGACAACATCCACAGGGGAGGCAATGATGGTGGTGCAGAAGCCTGCCCCAAAGGCGGACGTGAAGTGGCAGGGGAGGTCATCTGCCAGGGGGAGGGGCAGGCAAGGCAGTCAGGACTTGCACATTCCAGAAGGAACAAGAATCACTTAAGGAGCTAGGGGCTGTGGGGCTTTCGACACAGAGATCCCACCCAGGAGCTCTCCTGAGGTCCTAAAAGAGCCATTTTGCCAACTTAGCCTCAGTGCTTCAATGTACCAACTAAGTGCTTCTTCCCACTTGTTTTCAATATGGCAAATGAGAGACAAACTCACTCCACAAGCAAAGGGGAAATAGGATGAAAAGATGTCTTTTGTTAACCTAACTCCATACCTACTTCCGTGTTGGGGAAAGAGTAGGACCCGACACCATTAGCCTAACTCACCTGTCATGAGGTTGGCTTTCAGGAGGGCATCCTTGATGAGGTCATAGGTCACCAGCTCAGCGCAGTTGACAATGGCATTTCGAGCAACATTGGGAGAAGTTCCTATAGGAGGATGGGGTGCCTAAGTGAGACCAGGAAAGAGGGAGGGAGGGATATGGAAAAGAGAAATACCTGTTACGTACCTTTCCAGAGGCCCCGGAACCCTTCTTCCCGTGCAATGGTTTTGTAGGCCTCAACTGTGCTTTGGTATCTCCGGCCTCCTCCAGCGCGGGCCTGAGCTTGGAACCGGACCTTTACCACATCTGTGGGCTGAGCCACAGCTACAGCCAAGGCACCTGTGGTGCTGCCTGCCAGGAGGCGGCTCCCGATGCCGGCATCTGTGGGAGAATCATGGGGTCAGCGTGAGGTGTCCATCTCTCTACCCCAAAACCACAGCACTGTAGCATCTGCCTTTTGGAAATAGGCGGCTCACTGAACCAGATCCAGCTCTTGCTCCAAGTCCTTGCATCAAAATATCAATGTGAGGGTCTACTTGGTTAGGTACCGGACATAGTAAGGAGTGAGATAAAATGAGACTCAGTGATTTCGTTCATAAGCCATTTTTATTTACTTCATTTTACCTGCTCAGTAGTCCTGAGAAATCATAATCCTTTCTGACAAATGTGAAAACCAAGGCTCAGAAAGAAGTGGCTTTCCCAAGGAGCGGGAACTCCTGAGGTTTGGGTTCTCACTTCACATTCCCTTTGCCCTGACTTGTGGTCTTGGAAAAAGTTGACTTTGTGATCTGGATTTTCGGTTTCCACGTGTGTAAAATGGGGGGTGGGTATGGGCTGCTGAGGATCTGAGGTGGAAGAGTACTGACTCTGGAGGCAGAAGTCCTGGTGTCTTCTCTGGTGGCTGGCACGGGTGACGTGCAGTCAAGCCTGGCAGGGCCCAGCTGCTTAGGAATCATTAGGAGAATCAGGGCCCCTTTAGTTTTCTGTAACTCTCACCTCTTAGGGGTCTACAGGAGCTCTTCACTTAGAAGAACAAGGATTAGTCATCACTGGGAAGAAAAAGTCAAGGGGCGTCTAGCCCAGTTCCATACTTACTCTCAGAGCCCTTGGTGTAGAACTGCTTGACGGAGTCGTAGAGGCCAATGCGGACAGAGGCAAAGCTCATCTGGCGCTGCAGGCCGGCGACCAGCCCATTGTAGAGGCTGCCGGGGCCCTCGGTGCGCACCATGGTCAGGATGGTGCCCAGCACACCGCGGTACTGGGCACTGGCCAAAGCCTTCACGGCTCCCTGACTTTCTCCTTGGATCTGCAAGGCCGTAACAGTGATTACAGGGACAAGCTTATCTTGCCATTCCTATGCTCTCAAGTTTACAGACCCAAAACAGCCCTCTGGCACTAGAAGAGTCTGTCTTGGGTCGGAAACAGACTAGATACCATCTGGACCCCAGGTTTCACCTTCTCACCTGCAGCCTGACTTTAGCAGTATCCAGGGGAAAGGTGATGAGATCTGCAATGCAGGCAGCTGTGCCAGCTCCCAGGAACTTCACAGTGGCAGTTGGGGGCACATCTGTGACTTTGAACCCAACCATGATGCTGACTTCCTGTTACCTCTCAGGAGATGGAGAAAAACTGGAGAAGGGGGCACCTTCAATCAGCAGCAAGACGAGATAGAGGAACTCTGCCAGAATCTAAGCCATGGAGAAAAGCCTTATTAGCAGTATCCTCAGGGCCAACTTGCTCACCAAACCCACTCCAAACTTCCCTGACAACACGACCTCCCTAAAAAGTAAGGACTCAAAGAACCTTCTCCCTTTCACTGCAGAGAGCCTGTGTGGATCCCAACTATCCCATCACTGCCTCACAAAGGGGCACTGGCCCAGGCCTTGTCTGTGGGGTGCAGGGATTTCACTGGAGAAATCTGCTCCAGCAGCTCTAGGGACAGTCACAAATGGGAAAAAGATTTTAATCAGATCAAGACCTGATACACACAACCCCTAGGCTTATGACCTGGATTTCTTAAATAGGAGAGGTTCCTCTTCTTATAGTCTGGAATTATCTAAGTCTACAAGAAAAGGACCGCACAAGATGACTAATTCAATCCTTCCCAAATCTACCCCTCTAACTCTTCCCCAGCCCCCTTGGGGTCATTTATCTCTGGAGCCATTCTTTCAACAACTCCCATTCTTTGTTGCTTCAGATATGCAGGAGACAGTATTTACCCTTAGGCTGGCACTTATTGTCTGGCAGACAAAAGCAGGTAATTCAAACTGCTTTTGGAGCTTGCAGGATAAACTCTCAAAATGCAGAGGAGGAAACAACTATTTCCTTGGAAATAGAGGTAAGGAAGAATGCATAATCAAAAAGACTCAAAAAAGGTGCCCTCAGCAGGACCTGGAAGGGGCCTGGGCCATTCTTTGGAGAGTCAGCATCTGGGTGCTAGACTGTCTCACTGCTGGTCATCTAGTTATACAGGGAAAACTCCCTGGCCAGTTTCCTCTCCCCCAATATATGGGGGTCCGCATCTTCACTGCAAGAGAGAAGGTGATGAGGTGTAGGTGAGAGCTATGAAGAGTAACACAGGAAACCAAAAGCTCCATTTGTTCTCAGAGTGGGAACAAGGCCAGCCCTCCTCCGCCCTCTGCAGCCTCAGGAGGAAGTGAGCCCAGCACCCAGTGGGGGAGGGCAACCTGCTTTGCTCTCTCCAGAGCACACTTCTGACTTCACTGGAGCAGCTGCTCTGCACTGAGTCTGATTGGCTGTTCTGTCGCTGGGGCCAGGGAGGAAAGAGCTCAGGCAGAGGGAGGATATGGTGTGAGTGTTGTGAACAAAGAGATCCAAGTAAACAGCTCACCCGGGCGCTTTCCTCCTGGGTTTCTCAGCCCAGATGGCTGGGACACAAGGAAATCAGGAGTCTGCTCAACCATGTGGGAGCTCCTGTAGGGTGGGGCCTGGCCTTACTTGTGTATTTTGGGAGCCTGTCCATGAGGTTCAGTGAAGACTGGGGCTCAAATGTCAGAATGGGTTGATGAAGATGTTTCACTCCCAGCTTCCCTCCTCTAAAACCCTCATTCCGGGCCCTCCCTGGTGGCACAATGGGTTAAAGCACAGCACTGAGAATCTAAAGCAGCTTCCCCATGAGTTTGATGCCCGCCTGCCCCGAGGTGACCACATGGTGTGGCAGACCTCTCCGGACCTGCCCACTGCTCCCCTCAGCAGTGTACTTCATCGATCTGCCTGTTCTGTTCCCCACTCTGTCTCTGGTGAAGCCTCTCACCGCCCCTGAGCCTCTGGCCTGTACCCCAGTTCTATATGCACAAATAAATAAATCTAAAAAACAAAACAAAACAAACAAACAAAAAACCCTCATTCCATCTTCCAGGAGGGATCTATATCTTTCTCCACCCCATAGCCGGAGGCATTCCCCAAGGCAGCCCTGTGAGATGACCTTATTTCCATGCCCTAATTTCCAAGAGACAATTTAGTAAAAGTCATGTCTACTGGCCCCAAAGCTTATGCTATTTGCTTTGCACTGGTGCCCAGAACATTTTTCTCTTCTTTCTTTCTCAGCCAAAGAGCCTTTCACCAGGAAGTCCATCTAAATACCCAAGTTCTCTGGTGCAATATGACAATTCTGAGAAGATTCATGCAAATGGTGTCCCTTCAAAGACATGATGACACATGTCCCAGCCCTATCAGGTCCCAACCATGAGTTGGGTTGCAGGGATTTGTGAAGGTTAGTGCCCCATCCACCTCAAAGACAGGTGCCACAAGTTGGGTCCTTCAAAGGTGTGGGTTTGGGGGCAAAGGTCACCTGTGCTGCATACCCTAAGAAGAGCAAGTAAAACTCAGACCTAGAAAGAGTTATTCATAGTTTACAATCTCCAGCAAAAAACCAGTTCTGAGTACAAAGAGGGACACCAGATTACTAATCTAAGTCTTGCAGTTAATCAAAACTAGAGTCAACAATATGTAGTCAGAACAATCAGCAACTGTTCCAACTCTGATGCTAATCTCAGGTGACCAGGGGCCAATTACTGTCTCACCAAAGCCAGTTTTCCCCTTTGTAAAATAAGGACCATCATGCATGGCTTGTCAAGGTCAGTTTACTGGTCTTGGTTTACGGAGACCAGCGAGGTATCAAAGTGCTTTGTGAACACTGAAGAGCAGCTTCGCTGAGGTGGTGATGGTAGTTATTTTTGCTAATGTCTTGCTGAAACCTGCCCTGATCATAGGGCTAGGAGGGAGCAGGAGAGCTCACCCTTAGACTGGACTCTTACCTGGCTTTGTAAGCTCTCACGCCAAGGTCGCCAAGATCAAGCTTCTCTAAAAGCATCCCATTCTTCAAAGCTGTCAGCAGTTAACATGGCCTGATCCCTTTGGTTTTCCATAAAAAATGGCTGGGAGACGAAACCCCTAACGGTCATACTATGTGTCCTGTGGATGAGGGCAAAGAAGAGTTTAGAAAGGGAAATCTACATTAAAGCACCACAGCCCAGCAAGAAAAGGGCCAAGGCACACTAGACCACTCAGTGCTTTCCTGGGGTGCAGGGACAGGCTCCATCTTGCCCAGGGTAGCCAAGGACTGATCAAGTACCCACACAGGAGAGGTAATGAACCCAGAAGTTCCCCTTCCCGAACCCTTTGCTCTCTAGCATACATTGGCTCTTAGTCAGACTTCTGCTTTAGGGGACTCAGTCCCCTGAGACACACACCCCAACAGTCAGCAGACTGGTGAGTGGGAGCGATGTGCATATTGGGGTCACGATAGGTTCCAGACTCACTAAGAGTCTAGAGCCCAGAGTGGGGCTGGGGGCGGGAGTTGCAGAGACTGGACAGAGCAACTCAAAGCCCATTCCTAACAGAAACGCTCCAAGTATCAAAGATGAGAGATTAAAAAGAGAGTAGAGGGGCAAAATACAAACTAGTCTGGGGAAAAGAAGAGAGAAATTAACCAGATGGAAGCCGGGCTAGCGGGCGCAGGGATGGGGCGGGCCGGGGCCGAGCTCACCGGGCCACAGGGAGAACACCAGAGTGCGGGCGGCTCTATCCGTAGGCGGAGCGCACGTCGAGGGAGCGGTCCTCAACCCCAGGCACCGGCTGCAGGCGTCCAGTGAGGTGGGCGGCAGCGGCGGCGCACTTAGGTTCTTGGGGGCGGGGCCAGGCGAGTGGGCGGGGCTTTGGGCGGGGCCTGCGGGGTCGCTGGAGGTGGCGTGTTGGACCGCTGTGCCCTGCGGCGTTTTAGCAGCACCTGCCCTCCGCCCTGGGCGCGCCTTCCTTGGTCCTTCTCCCTACCCCGAGGGTCAACCCTGCTCTTCTCCAGGTCCTGCGACCTCATGGTGAAATTAACCGGACTCGCCCCAAGAAGCAGAAACTGCCCCTCGCTAGGGCTCTTTCTAGCAGCTCTGAGACTGGGGTGTCGCGCACATCCTCCATCTCGGGCCGTCTTCCATCCGGGCCGGGGCCGCGACCCAGACTCTGCAACCCACCCCAGCTGCCGCGGACCTGAGCCTCCCCACCCGCCTCGCTGGCGATTGGCTAAAGTCGCCGCGTTGCCACGGGGAGAAGCGAATTTGGGCTGCAGCGGCAGGTGGCCGGCAACGGCCAACGGCCGTTGGGCGCGGCCAGCTTCCCGCCATCTCCCGCTGCAGACTCAGCAAGCCGTTGGGGGCCCTGGGGACTTCTGGCCCGGCGGGTGGGGGCCACCAAACGTGACGCTCCCGCCCCTAAATGAGAAGGGACTCAGGTTGCTAACGGTCTTGTGGGGTGACAGACACGTGAACAAGCAGCAACTGGGTCCTGCGGCTGGGGCTGGGGAGCAGAAGGAGCTAGGTCACTGTTCCTAGTGAACTGTTCCCTAGTTTTGTGTGACCCCCCCCCCCACCTCTTTGTTTTCACCCTTGTGAGGGCTCCCAAGACCGTGTAAGGATTACTTAGTCCAGGAAATTGCCTCCCTGACTATACTCTGTCATCTCCCTGAGAGCAGGAGGCTAGTTCCTATGCACAATATCTGAGCACTTTAAGGGCAGATGTGGGGTAGTGTTACAGGCCAGCCTTTTCTTGGGGACCACCCTGTTACAGTGGAGGCTCAAAGCGAGCAGTTTGGGCTGCTGCAGCCCTTAAAAAAAGTGATGGGAGAAAGGGGAAGATGAGCATTCGGCAGGTGTAATTCTTCAGTTTACCTCAATATGGGTGCTGCACCTAACCTGTGAGGCTGGTATTAACCTTCACTTTACAGACAAGGAAACAGCCCAAAGTGGTTATATCATCTGCTTAATGTCAAGAATCAGGAAGTGTGAGCAGTAACTTCAACCCTCGTTAGTTAGGCTCCATGCCTGTGTTTTCTGTACAGTCTACAAGTGGAAGGACTTGTCAGCTGAGGAGTTTATATAATTATAGCAAGAAAGAAAAAACAAACTAAGCATATAGCCCTGGCAGAAGGAGTTTTCCCCAAAATGACTTCTGCTACTGTGGAGTTTCCCATTCACTAGCTGGTCTAGCTTTTGCAGGTACTGTCTCTGGATGTAATTAACTGATTCCTGGGGTGTGCAGCCAGTTAGTGGTGAGGCTGCTGAAATTGTGAGGGATCTTCAAGGAGACATAAAGAACAGATGGAGCTAGCAGCCTGGAATTAGTTTCACCTGACTGCCAAATGGAAGCATCTGGATTCCAAAGGGGCTTCTACCCGAGTTTTTGTTCAGCCCTGGTAAAATCCAGGGGGATGTTAGAAGGATGATGTGTGCCACTTACAAAGAAAATTGAAAAACATACAAGAATGCCAGAGAAGAAATGGGAAACATCAGGTAATAAAAACAAATATGAGAAAAAAAAAACCAGTTCATATGCTTGGTTATTTCTGCTAAAAATATGAAGGAGGTTGGCTGTAATGACTAGTCCCTACCCCAGGCAAATTCAAAATTACCTGCTTGCATTTTCATTTGGTGCTTGACCTTTCTGAGCAAGCTTAGGCCACAGTTGGGTGAGGCCTCATTTAAAGGGTGGTTAATACTGACCAGCAGTCCTGGTGCCCTTCCTTGGCCTCAGTCTGGTAGCTTGCCTGCATCTACTTAGCCCTTGTTTTGCATTAAGATGAGGTGATGATGGTCACAGGTAATAAGACAGGTGCCCTCATTAAAGCAGCCAGTGTAAATGTTAAACAGTGTGGCTAGTTGGAAAAGACCCTAGCCAAAGTACTGTCATCTGCAATGTAGGCACCTTAGAAGGCACCAGCCAGTGGGGTATCCACCAAGAACCCCTGTCCCTCCACCAGGGCTGCCCTAGCTGAGAAGAAAATGAAACAAAGATTTTTTTGACTTCAACATTTAATAAAAAGCTGAAAAGTTGAATTTCTTTAAGCCCACTTAAGATGTAAATTGAACCATGCATTTTAAAATTCTTGTCTGTCATGGCTTATAAAAAGGGGAGTGGGAATTGGAAGAATAGCGATAAAGTCAGAAATTAATCATTTGTAACAACAAAATCAGATTAGAAGTTTTAAATGGATCTTTGTTGATAAATAGCAAAGCCTGTATTTTAAATGTTGAATTAGAAAAAAACCATTAGAGTTCAAAGATTCTTCAATCATCAAAAGGAATGAAATGCATTTACTCAACCATAAAAAGGAATGAAATACATTTTATTACACGGATAAACCTTGAAAACATGCTAAGTGAAAGAAGCCAGTGACAAAATTATATATATTTTATGTTTCCATTTACATGAAATGCCCAGAATAGGAAACTCTTACAGAAAATAGGGCTGGGAGGCTGGGGGGATGGGGTGTGACAGCTAAAGCGTAAAAAGGAATGGTTGTTTGGGCGGTGATGATAATCTTCTAAAATTGAGTGTGGTAATAGTTGAACAATTCTGACTAAACTAAAAGCTATTGACTTTCTTTAATCTTTAAATGGATTAATTATATGATATGTGAATTAAATTTCAGTAAGTGACCTACCAGAATAATAACAATGCAAACCAGAACACCTTAACATCCTTTCAAGGACTGCCTGGTGCTTTGAATAAATTCTAAATTTATTCCAAAATTTCTCATGAGGTGTCAATGAGTATAATTAAGACATAGTAGAATAATTGTGCATAATTATGCTGATTTGCATATTTCCAGTAAGGTAGTAAGATACTTTATGGGTATTGATAACCAAACTAATTTATAAAAGTCTACGGGAATTCTTAACATATCACCCCTCAATACTAGATGTTTATTGTTTTATATCTTCCTACTCTATAAATATCAAGATGTTTTTACATCAGATGAGTTAAATCTCTTTCCATTAACCTCTAAAATATAGATAACAAATTATCAATATAAGAAAAACAAGATACATGATAGACTAACAAAATCACATGACTACTTATAAATGTTAACAGTCAGAAAAAAGCTTATACTGTTTATTCTTAGATTTATAAAATAAAATGCAGATAAACTAAAGATAAAAATAGTGCTGATTGCATGAAAAAAATGTGCAAAATGATGTAAAAATAAACTTTAGGAAAAAAAATAGTGCTGATTGCTTTAAAAAAAACTGTTAAAAGAAAAAAGCAAAACCTACTGGCCTTTTTTTTTTTTAAGCAGCTCTTTCCTGCATTAGAATAAGCTATAATGAGCAACATATTAAATGTTTCCCAAACTACAGCACAACATACTTTTAAGATTTTTAAGTTATATTCCACCAGCAACAAGTTTTTTAATGACTAGCACTATAAAGCTAGTTTTTGGAAAGAAAAAAGACACAAAGTAGTAATAACAAATAGTATAACCAAATTACTGCTAATGAAAACTAAAAGTGAGAAGTGAAGAAGGTGGCTGACTATTCAATTCTAAATATTTACTCTCCAAATATTGCATTCCCATATCATTATAAGATGGTGAACTTGAAAAACGGGTCTCTGAGTGAATACCCAATGTTGAAACCTTCCTAGAATGAGTGAATAAAGTTAAGGACATGTATAGAGTTTTCTACTGGAATCCCGGAGTTTTTGAAGACTTCTTTTCTGCAAAGTTTGTGTATAGCAGTTTCCATACAAACGTTCTTGTTTATTTTCAGAGTTTCAAAGTACAACTGAAAAGGAAACCACTCAGCTCCTGTTGTGGCAACATGAGTTCTGTTTTGACTCGGTATTTGCTTCCTCAATGGTCATTTAAAATAATTCTGTACTTTCATTTGTTCAGAAGCATCTTTAAGTTTTCTCTTTGCAAGTTGACTAGGAGAGTATACAGTGGGGACATATCCGCAAACATCCCTGCAAGCCCTGGCTGCTGCTCAACATTTGCAATACTTTATGAACGCCTATGCTTTTGTGAGCAACCTCACCTCATAGTTCTATTTTATCAAAGGCAGAAGGTTTCCCTTCATTCTCCACTGAACCTAAAGTAGAAATTACTTCAGGATTATGATCCTGCACCATTGTTAATGCTCAGCACTGTGAAATATATCTGGCTGATTTTGAATTCTTACACCTCAGGACGGTAAAAGAAATGAGGATTTGACTTTTGGGCAGTGACTTCTGAATGATTGTTCTAAAATTACTGTGACTGGGCTGTATTCATTGAGAGGAGCCATAGAAACAAATAACTTGTAATTTTTGTTGAAAGTCACGGCAAGTCACAGGGTCCAAATCACAAAACTTTAACGTGTAAAAGTTTCCAAACAAATCATAACTGGGGTGTCTTGCCTGTGCCGTTGTGCAACTAACTATAATGCAGATGGTTTTATGTTTCTGTGTTTGGTCAAACCATCTTTGCAGTCTGTACTTCTCCTTCCCAAGTATTTTTAATCTTTTTTAGCTCTGTAAGGAAGCTCTCCAGAGTTAACACAAGAGTTTGCCAAATTGTATTAGATTTCCATTATTAAAAAGGCAAGAGTTTCAGTCAAATAAGAAAACAATAAGTTTTGTGTATTCTGTAATATAGACCTAATTGCTTATATTGCTTGCATCAGCCAAGTCTTGACTGTTTTTGTCAGTATTAAAACTGACAAGCTTTCTGTTCAGCACTCCTGCTTTCTCCCCATCCTGTCATAGGAATAATTATTGTGGATAGAGTGCTTTTAAATCTGTTTATAAATGGAACATTCCACCAGGATGAAAGTTGATTCAAATTTA